CAGACTAAAAAGCCTTACTGCCATTACTCGCTCCGGAGATTCTCCGGGGGGAACCCAAGGGGGGCTCCGACAGAAAAAAGGGCTGTATGTGTGCCTCTGTGCTGAGCCCAGTCTGCGGTCTTACATTAGAGCTGAGGTGAGCTGGCGCGCACTGAGAGTAAGCGTGAGCGCTTTCTGAATGAGACGCCTTTTAGGTGGAGGCTGCAGCTGTCGTGGAGAAACACATTTACTCCCGCTGTGCTGTGAGTGGGTAGAAAAAAGCAGAAATTAAAAACGGGCTCTGGCTGAAAACGAGGGATTTTACCGGAGTTGGTCTGCTGAAAAAAACATTTTACCTGACGTGGCAGACGGGTGTTTTGCAATATTTACTGAACTTCGGTGCCATTTAAAACGCTGTTTAGAAGTTACTGGCTCGTTCTGTGTGGGGAATGTGTGAAGAGAGGCAGCTGTGAGATCAGCTGATCTGACAGTCTTAGATGAAAACTTTACTTTCAGAGGTGTTTCTGTTTTATATCAAAACATACATTATCAAAAAAACACATACATTCCCCTCAAGGATATGTTACCTGGTGGAGGGGGCCGGCAGAGGAGCGGAGCGTGAAGTCGCTGCCGCAGCTGTGGAGCATCTCTGCTGCTGTTACTGGCCAAGGCAGTCCCTCCAGTGGCCGGAGGGGCAGAAGGAGGACTGTGACGTCACCAGATGGTGTACAGTCTCTGAGACCTCCTCGGACCTCTGCGATTTAACAAGGATGGTCCTGAAGTTGGCCCCAAACAGCGCCTCTGGGGTGATGGGGCCCTCCAGTAGGTCTTTCTGCAGCCTCTCAGACAAGGATGGCGAGAGGCGGAGCCAGGTGGTCCTTTGGATCATGGTAATCCAGGCGGTGATGCAGGACAGGTAGACCGCAGAGGTGGCGCACATGTTTAAGATGACGTCAGCGGCTTTACAGAGAGAGCTCTTTGTCTCCTCCAGCAGGTCTGCTTCCTCCAGCCTCTTTGAGATGCTGTAGGCCAGCAGAGCAATGTTCTTGTTCGCCGCGACCGCCTGGGATGTGCATTGGTGAGCTTGGATGGAGAACTTTGTCACCCTCTGGTCATGCTTTCCTGGACGGATAGGTTGCCGGTCCATCCTGGAAGTTTTTGCCCCAAGCACCTCCACCAGGCTTGGTTCCAGGGGGGAGAACCAAGGGAAAAAAACACTGATCGGTAAAAACCTCCACTTTGGAGATGGAGGCGAAGGTGGAGACGGATGTCTTCAGCTTGCCGGGCACAGCTGCAGCCTTGCTCCAATGTGACGTCACAGCTAGAAAGCGAGGCCAGATGGGATCAGGGCGACGAGCCGGGGTGGAGCCAAACCTTCCCGCCAGATCATCCGATCGGGGCGGAGAAAGGCAAGGGACAGAAAGTCCCTTGTGTTAACAGCCTCCTGGAGTATGCCAGGCAACTCCGAGAGGAGGGCGCCGACGGCTGGGAGCAGTGTGGTCGCCGACGTGGGAAGACCCGAGGTGGCTGAGCATCCGTTCGACCGCTCTTCTTCCGTTACTACACTCTCCAGGAGGGAAGGGGCAGCGAGGTTGTTTCCAGCATTGCCTTTCTCTGAGGAGTCATCCGATTCACTGTGTGACTCTGCGTCAAAGAAAGGTGGTGGCGTCATCCCGCGCATAGCATCCCGCTATGGAAAAAACACTCAGCAGAGCTGCTGCCCACATCGCCTTTTTCTAGGGAATCATCCGATTCACAGCAAGGAAAAAATGTTAGAAAAAGCGATGGTGTCATCCAGCAAGTAGCGGCCCGTCAAGGACAAACACTCAGCGGAGCTGCTGCCAACAAGGCCTTTTCCGAGGGGATCAACCAATTCACAGCGAGGAAAACACGTTAGAAAAGGCAGTGGTATCGTCCAGCGAGTAACGGTCCTCCACGGAAAAAACACTCAGCCGAGCTGCTGCTAACATCGTCTTTTTTCGAGGGAATCATCCGATTCACCGCGAGGAAAAAACATTAGAAAAGGCGATGGCCTCGTCCAGAGGCCCACCACGGACAAACACTCTTCGGCGTTTACCTTGAACAAGGCTGCTCATCTCTGCTTCTCCTCGGGGAGGAAGAGTTCACTGGGATGGCAGGAGTTTGGTGTGGCGGAAACCCAGGCATCCTTAGCAAAGGTTGTGCCTGTCAAAGCTGGACAACTTTTCCTTCTTCGTTCTTCTGACGGTGCTAGCTAGCTGGCTGAAGAAAAAATGGGAGCCGATTACCCGGTCTCACCATAATTTATACGGACAGGGGGTGAGGCCCACACAGCAGGTAGGCGTGGACTAAAGTTTTCAGTGCTGCGCGCGAAGGGATAAACCCACTGGCGATAGCCTTAAAGGGCAAAGCCTATACGAAATAGAAGCATCAATATCAGCTCCTCTCTGACAGCTTGGTGGGAGTTTATTAAAATGACAGAGTCTTCACTAATTTCATGCAGATGTACACCTATCTGGAACAATCCTGACATCCTACAACAAAATAATAGAATAAACTTCCCAGGTTGGAGGTGTAAAGGAATCAAATATTTGGAACACATATATGAGGAATTAGACTATATCCCATTTAACAGATTAATAAAACAATATGGGATAGACAAGAATATTTTTTTAGAATATCAACAAATTAAATATATACAAAAAATAAATTTAACCATAATCATGGTAGGGTTGAAATACCAACAAGTGTATTAGAATTCCTTAATCTTAACCCACCCAAATTATTATCTAAGGTTTACCAAGTGGTGTTCTGTTGTTGGACTTTTGTGCTCATCATGGATTGTCCATAATGAACACCATGTTCAAGCATAAGGGTGTCCATATGTGCTCTTGGCACCAGGACACCCTAGGCCACAGTTCAATGATCGACTTTGTCGTTACCTCATCTGATCTGCGGCCACATGTCTTGGACACTCGGGTGAAGAGAGGGACGGAGCTGTCTACTGATCACTACCTGGTAGAGAGTTGGCTCCGATGGTGGGGGAGGATGCCGGTCAGACCTGGCAGACCCAAACGTATTGTGAGGGTTTGCTGGGAATGTCTGGCAGAGTCTCCTGTGAGACGGACCTTTAACTCCCACCGCCGGGAGAACTTCAAACATGTTCCGGGGGAGGTGGGGGACATTGAGTACGAGTGGGCCATGTTCCGTGCCTCTATTGTAGAGGCGGTTTACCAGAGCTGCGGCTGCAAGGTTGCCGGTGCCTGTCACGGCAGCAACCCTTGAACCTGGTGGTGGACACTGTCGGTGAGGGATGCTGTCTGGCTGAAG